TATACTATCATGTCATCTGCATAAAGGGATAATTTTACTTCCTCTTTGCCAATTTGTATACCTCTAATGTCTTTATCTTGTCTTATTGCTATCGCTAAGACTTCCAGTACAATATTAAATAAGAGAGGAGATAATGGGCATCCTTGCCTCTTAAAGTGAATGCTTTTAACCTCTCTCCATTGAGAATAATGTTAGCTCTCGGGTTTTCATAAATACTTTCCCATTTTCTTTCCAGTGGAGATCATCAATTCCTTCAAAAAAGCAGGCGGCTCCCTGGTTGCACCAGAAGGGGGCATTCATCTGAGGTCGGAGATGGGGAAATGTGCAGTTTCCAAGTTGGAAAAGTTCATACCACTCCATCATATAGTTCTTGCCAGTTATAGCGCTCCTGAACCCGATGACATCGTGCATAATTTTCATGTGACCCAGGAGGTTTCCATATTTAAATTACCACACTGGGGCCTGTAATCGAAAGACTTCAATGACATCATCCCCCTTCATAGAGGGGATAGAAGAGCCAGTTGGACAGAAAGTATATTTAACTTGACAGTAAGGGTCTGGTTCTGGACGGGAGGAAAAACGCTTGTAAGGTACCGGCCAGTGGCGCCGAGCACGCGCTCCCGACGCCTGAGCGCAGCTGGGGGCCACCGTCAGCCAGAGCAGCACCATGGCCCAGCGCCAGGGCGCACGCCCCAGGCCGGCAGGTCGCTGCTCCTCCGCGCTGCGGCTGGCCTGCGCCTTGCGCCGTCCTCCCATGCTTCCCGAGCCTCCCGAGACCTCCATGGCGCAGTGCCCTCCACTCGAATCCTCGGCGGAGCCGACTGAACTGGCCCGGGTCGGCTGCGGCCCCCGATGTTGTTGTTCTTAAGTGCTGTCAAGTTACCTGTGACTCGTGATCCTATGTATCGCAACTCTGAGCCCTGCCTTGTTCTGAGCCAGTCTCACTGACTCTGATTCATCTACCTCCTTTGCCCTAGTTACTGTGTCCGTCCATCTCATTCAGGGTCTTCTTCTCCTGGGCTGTCTCTCCACCCTTCCAGGCATGATGTCCTTCTCCAAGGATCGGTTCCTCCTGGCCACATGCCCAAATTATGTGAGACAGAGCTTCAAAATCTTTGCCTCCAAGGAGAAACTTGGTTTCATTCTCTTCAAGACAGACCTATTAGTTTTCTTGGCAGGCAGTCCAAGAGAGATCTATTTCTGGGCTTTCAATTCTGTTCCATTGGTCTTTGTGCCTGTCCTTGTACCAGTATCATGTTGTTTTGGTTACTGCCACTATTTACAGGTTTTGAGGTCAGGGAGTGCTGTGCCTCTTATTTAATTTTTGTTTTTCAGGAGTGCTTTGATTATTCAGGGTCTCTTTACTCTCCAAATAAATTTGACAATTCACCTTTCAATCTCCTTTAGAAATGAATTTGGTGTCTGGATTGGGATTGCGTAGATTGTTATTGGTAGGATTGCAATTTTCACAAAATTGAGTCTTTTTATCCATGAACCAAGAACAAAAAAAAATGTTTGAATCATTGTCTATTCTATACCTCCCTTTCCTTTATGCTTTACAAGCAGTAATCACTGCCTTTTTTTTTTTTTATGGAAAAAAGTATATAATCCAAGTAGGCAAATATAAATAGGAAGAAGTGTGTAATCTTAGTAGATAAATAAAAAGAGAACATTTTTTACTCATGAATATTAGTGAAACTGATGGAATATTATCTTGAAAAACATGTTCCAAAGGAAAATTTGAGTGATAGTTAATTTCTCTGTGAAGAGTCCTCATGTCATTCCTTCCTGTGCACATCAGTGTCATTGGCTTAATTAAAGGTCCTAAATAACATACCTCTGGAAACTCTGTGAACTTGTAGATAATTGTAGAGGGGCTTCCTTTAGGCCTTTTGTTCATAGGGGCATTACAATGAATTTTGTTCTTTGTTGTCATTACATTAAATTTGTGAAATAATGGCATACCATGACTGTTTCCTATTTAGGATGGGATATAAAGTAAATGTTGAATATGTTGCACTTTGGAAAGCAGCTTACAGATTTTCTTCCTCCAGATGATGGTGTTGATAGTCAGAGTGGAACAAAGAAAGAAGATCTGAATGACAAAGAAAAAAAGGATGAAGAAGAAACTCCTGTGTCAACATATAGGGCTAAGTCAATATTGGAGAGCTGGGTCTGGGGGAAGCAACCAGGTAAGATCTTCTTTAGTACTTTGTATAATTTGATTTGGTTCTACTTTCTGGACACCTGAGATGAACTTTTATCATCATGTGTTATTCTGTACATGCATGTAAAATTCCCATTTTTATATCTAGTGTAGTTTTGTTTCAGAACTTTTGTGTATAAACACAGTAAATCAGTGACATACATAAATGCATATATAGAGAGAAATAATTTGTGGTTTGGGTTAATAATAACAACCCCTATTTTGTAGGAATAGCTTGCTACTGTTGTCTATTGTGTTTCCACAGGCCTGATCTTTTAGATAGGAGGTCTGATGATCTAGGGGTAAGAAGATCCACTGCCAGCCCAAAGGCTTGTGGTTCAAATCCATCAGCTGCTCTGTGGGAGAAGAATGAACAGTCTCTTCCTTTTCAGCTTATTCTAAAAACCTGCTAGAGGGTCAGCTGTGAGTTGATTCCTATTCAATGATACCCAACAACAGCAGTTATTTCAGAGGTAGAGGGCCATTCCTGCTTTTAAGCCTTGAAACTCCACTGAAACTTACCCACCATGATTGACCCTGCTAGTGTTTGACATACTAATACTGCTGTTTTTTTGGTAGCATCAGGGTGGATGGCGAAGAGATTGAGATTGTTCACAGCTTCAGTTTGCTTGGCTCCACAGTCAACACTCTTGGCACCAGCAGCCAGGAAATAAAAAAACATATTGCAATGGGAAAGTCTTCTGTTAGGGACCTCTCTAAAGTACTCAAGAGCAACGGTGTCTCTCTGTAGACTAAGGTGTGTCTGATATAGGCCATGGTCTTTGCAGTCACTTGTTATGCATCAGAGAGTAGGACAATGACTAGGGAGGATAAAAGGAGAATTGACGCCGTTGAGCTGTGGTGCTGGAGACGAGTATTGAATGTACCATGGACTGCCAAGAAAACAAACAGATCCAACCAGAGAGGGTTAAACCAGGCTACTCCTTGGAGGCAAAGATTCTGGGGCTTCGTCTGACATACTTTGGACATGTTGCAAGGAGAGGCAGGTCTTTGGAGAGGGACATCATGCTGGGTAGAGTAGAAGGACAGTGCAGGAGGGGAAGACCCTCTATGAGGTGGATTGATTCAGTGACTGGGGTAATTGGGATGGGTGTGTCAGAGGCAGTGAGATTGGCACAGGATAGAGCAGGGTTTAGGGCTGTTGTACAGAGGGTTGCTAAGAGTCACATGACTAGACGTTGCGACTCGATGGCACATAGCAACAACATCCTGATGTTGCCTGTTCATCCAGTGGTGAGGACTTTTTTTTATGTTGAAGTGTAGATCATATTGAGGTTTATAGTCTTTAAATTTCTTTAAGTGTTTGCGATCTTAATTTTTTTTGCATGCAGAGTTGTATTTAACACACCTAGGTTGTTGATGAGTCTTCCTCAGTTTCTGATGCCACATTCTTTTTAGATAGCCCATGCTCTCAAAATATTACCTCAGTATACAGTTTGAATAGATATGCAGAAAGGTTACAACCCTGATATGCAACTTTCCTGATTTTTAATCATGATGTGGTCTCTTGCTCTGGTCACATTACTTCTTTTTCAATTTTTTTATTTTATTGGTTTGCTTACAAAAGTTCATATACATTGTTTTCTATTCTATTCGTTCATACTGTGTTTCATACCTTATGGGTTATATTTTATAAAATTAATCTCCTTTGGACTCTGCCCATCATTACTCTGTTTTTTTGGCCCGAGTTTTGATGTATGTTCTGATTGCTTCTTTTTGATGTGTGTTACTAGGGATATCATAGCCAATGTTCGATGGATCTTGGCTGAAGCAGAGAGTGCCAGAGGAATGTCTTTCTGTGTTTTATTGAATACGCAGAGGCATTTGACCATGTGGATCACAACAAATTGTGGCTAACCTTAAGGAGAATTGGAATCCCAGAACACTAGATTCTGTTCATGCTCATACTCATGCTCATGTTCATTTGAAACCAGGAAGCAGTAGTCAGAACAGAGAAAACACTATCCATCAAGAATGTATCCTGTCTCCGTACTTTTTCAATTGATGTGCAGAACAGATCCTTTGGGAGGTTGGACTTCATGAGAAGGAATGTGACATCAGAATTGGAGGAAGACTCATCAACAGCATACATTATGTAGATGACACAACCTTGCTTACTGGAAACTGAGGAGGATAGGAGGCTTTCATTGCAGATGGTCAGGGACTACAGTCTTCAATATGGATTTAAGCTCAACATGAAGAAAACAAAGATTCTTATCCCTGGGCCAATTAGCAGCTTCATGATGGATGGAGAAGAGATTGAGATTGTTGATAACTTCAGATTGGTTCCCCAATCAAAACTCTTGGCACCAGCAGTCAGTAAATCAAAAGACAGATTGCATTAGGAAAATCTACTGTTAGGGACTTCTCTACAGTACTTAAGAGTAATGATGTCAGTCTGCAAATTAAGGTGCTCCTGATTCAAGCCATGGTCTTTGCAGTCACTTGCTATGCATCTAAGAGCTGTACAATAACTAAGGATAATAGAAGAAGGATCGATGCCTTTGAGTTGTGGTACTAGAGAAGATGTTAGACTCTCGACTGCCAGGAGAACAAAACAGGTCTGTCCTGAAGAGGGTGAATTCAGGCTTTTTCCTGGAGGTGAGGACTTTGAAGCTTTGTCTGACATACTTTGGGCACACAGCCAGGAGAGACCAGTCCTTGTAGAGGGACATGCTTGAAACAGTAGAGGGACAGCACAAAAGAAAAAGACCCTGGATTAGATGGATTGACTCAGTGATTGGAAAGCTGGACTGGGTCTGTCAGAGACAATGAGATTGGCTCAGGATAGGGCAAGATTCAGAGCTAATAGCATCGCTCTGAGCCACAGGTGACTCATAGCAACAAGAACAACCACCATCACCAATCACCACAACAGATTTTAAATGAGTGTTCTGAAAGTCTCATTCTTCTCAGTGTCATTCATTGTCTGTTATGATCTGCATGCCTTTGCTTGCCTTTGCTTAGTCAGTAGAATACAGCTTTATGCTTTCAGCCAAAACTCATCTGACATCAGAAATTATTTCCTTTTTCCCCCCAAGGTACAGGCTTTTAGGAATCCAGTTTAAATCTCTGGCAGAATATATCTGTTGATACATTGCATGCATCAAGACATTTTTGAATACTCTTTAGCAAAATTTTGCCTACATTGCTTGATAATATAAAGAAAGCAAAGGTCATGTGGGGATGGTCAAATCTGACCTTCACCAGCTTCACAGAGGGGAACTGTCAACATAATCAGCACAAAACCAGTTCCTAATGAGGTCAGATATATCCCCCACATTCTTGTACTTCTTTCTACTCCTCTCAAAACCAGACTTACAACTTTACTTAGTAAAACTGCAATGCAGTTCCTCAGAGACCACACAGAACCAACCATATTGGGGAGATCAAGAGGTTACAATCCAGGTTAATAGTAAAATAAAGTCACTTAGTGAGAACAGCTTCCAAAAATATGTTTTCAGCCACCTCAGGCCTGAAGAGGCTTTAGACCAGTGTTACAAAGTTCTCAGTCCTGCCAATCATTGGCTCTCCATGTTCCACCACAAACCCTCCAGCTGTCTAATTAACCAGCTCTTGTTCCTTGGGGTAGCAGTCCTTGGGTCTGCTCCATCTCATGTTGAGTCTTTGGTCCTCTACTTCAGCTGCTAGGGCTCTTGTTCTGATCCTAAAGAGCAAGTTGTGTTCTTTTACTTGGGATAAGTTTTTTCTCTAATTCTGCTGCTGGATCCACTGAATTTAATGATGACTAGTCAGTCCCCTTGTTGATTGTGAGAGACCGGCTTCCAAACTTCTTGGCATAGTCTAGTGATCATAGATCAGGGCTCCATCTTTTTCCTGAAGTTCTAGTTGGCATTCCATCGATTCCTGGGACCTTATTTTTTGCCAGCACCTTCATTGTAGTTGCTGTTTATGTTTTTTTTTAAAAGATATTTGCAGTGAATACATCCTTGTACAGAATTCTGTCATGGTAGCTCCTTCCTTCCTTTTCCTTCCTTCTTCATTGGATGATCAGTAGCTAAGAAAAGCAGTGGTAGGGGAGCGAGCTATTCTTACCTCTCCTGGGATCTCAGGTTGTGAGACAGAGCTTATCCTGGTTTTATGGCTAATGAAGTAGAGTGTATCCAGATCTTGTAAAGCAAACCCTGTTTTTATTGCATTACTGACCTTACTGATCTATGGGATTGTGGGAAGAGTATTTGATTTACAGTGTAAGTATGATTGTACATCAAGATATCATTAGGGTAAAATGGATGAATTTTTTTAAAAATTATCTTTCTGCATTTGTATCCTTACAAAAAGACTGCTTAAAGCCTAGTCTTAAGTATTTAAAACAGAATAGTGTGGTGAACTAGCACATATCCAGTATATATTCTGTTGTTTTTAGGTATTATGGAGTCAATTGAACAACAAATCTGAGCCCATCTCTTACCTATATAGTTGAACCTATTGTTTTAGTCTCTTGAGGGTCTTCTCTCTTATTGACTCCACTTTTCTTGAAACATGCTGTTCTTTTAAAGGTTTGGCCTCTCCTAAGATCATACGCAAAGTATTGTGAGGCAGAGCTTCACCATTCTTGCCTCTAAGGAACCCTCTCTTGCACTTTTCCTTGGATATACATACTTTCTTTTGGCAATCGTGGGATATTTCATATTCTTCTCCAAGCACACCTCAAAGCCATTGGTTTTCTTTCATTCTTAGTCATTATTCATCTTTTAGTTACATAGCAAGTAATTGAAAAGACAATGGCCTGGATCAGTTGAACTTGAGTCTTTAAACGGACATCTTGGCTCTTTAGCACTTTGGGGAGAAGTCTTTGACAGCAGATTTTTCTCAGTGTCTTTTGATATCTTGACTTGAGGTTGAGATGTAACACATACTGAAGGCTGTCGTCTTTGATCTTCTGAAGAATGAGTTTCAAGTCTTCCTCACTTTCTTGTTTCTAATACTCAAGGTTTTATTATCTTCATAATGGGTTATGATGAGTCTTACCAGTTTTTCTTCATAAAGTTTAGACTCTTGAATGATTTGCTCAGCATATGGATTGAATTGATAATGGAGGAAGACTATAGCCCTGACTCATACCTTCCTTGGTTTTAATCCATGGAGTGTTCTCTTGCTGTTTTTCTAGGTCTGGCTTTCGCATGAACACAGTTAAGTACACTGGAATTCCCACTCCTCTCAATGTTAGCCAAATTTGTTATTCTAAAATATTAACATGAGTGTATTATCTATCAGAAGACAGACATAGTAGTTGGTTTCATTGGAAACATTTTAAAACTTTATTTCATAACATGAAAATGATGGATATGGTTTTTTTGTCTAAGAAATGTGCTGTTGTTAGTGTTTTTGTTATGCTTTTATATTAAAAAGTAGGGTATTTACAGCAAGTCAGTGACTAGAAGTCGTCTGCCCATGTGCCACGTTTGTTTGTGGAACTTGGGCAGTTCTGTGCCTCAGTTTTCTCATCAGTTAAAGGGATGTATGGTACTGTCTTGTGATATTGAATATGAAGATTACTGAGCCGATAATGTAATGTTTTTGGCATATATTAAGCCCTTGACTATTACCTGTTATTATTTTACTAACATTGTAGTTTAATCTATTCAGAGGTTGGTGCTTTCTTGTCTCCTAGATGTGAATGAACTAAAGGAATGTCTTGCTGTGCTGGTCAAAGAGCAACAAGCTGTGGCCTTCCAGTCAGCTACCTCCACCCTCTCAGCCCTCAGACTCAAGCAGAGGCTGGTGATCTTGGAACGCTACTTCATTGCCTTGAATAGGTCTGTTTTTCAGGAGAATGTCAAGGTTAAGTGGAAAAGTAGCAGTATTTCGCTGCCTTCTGTGGACAAAAAAAGGTAATCATTTAATGGAGGAAAAGAATCCTGATGTTAATAAATATTAAATTCAGGCTGTGGACTAAATATGAATACTATTTTGGTAGTATCGACTTTGTTTAAGGTATATGCCATGGCTGACCTCCAGCTAGATTTTAGATGCTTTAAATTACACAGGGGGAGATTGCCCACTGTTTTTCCACAGAGCAGTTTATGGTTTCAAACCACTTGTTTTTGGATTAGTAGTGCAACTCCATACTCACTAGGCCACTAGAGCTCCCTATATCATATATGAGAACAGTTTATAATCTGTAACCATTGGATACCCTTTGTGGTTTTCAAGATTGTAATTCTTTATGACAGAAATTCCTTGTCCTTTTGCCCTTATTTAGCTGGGGAATTCAAACTGCCTACCTCCACCTTTGGGTAGCATAGCTGCCTGACAGGTCACATTTCATGAAATTCAATCCCTCTTTTTCATTTTGTAAAATTTTATCCTCTCCCCCCTTTGGTTTATATATTTAATAATCTGGAGAAAGACTATAAGTATGAGTATTTCATAATAGTTGACATTGTTGTTAAGTGCCATCGAGTCGTAGGTGATTCATAGCAACCCTATGAATGAAAGTCCTCAATACTTGTGTGCGTGACTTTCATCCTTTCTCCAGGTTAATAGGGTTTCCGGAGGCAAGCTATTTATGGAAGTGGATGCCACTCCTGCTTCCAAGCTTGTTTCAACCAGGGAGCATCACCAAACACTGTCCACCATGGGTAGCTGTTAGCGCATTTGACACATCATTGTCACAGTGTTCAGCTTCATAGCGACCACAGGTTACATCTGTAGGGCAAATGGACACACCAGGGCTATACGACCTAGAAGATGGTTTGAACAAACACAATGAAAAACAGGCCTTATGGTGGCCATCCACCTTTGGCTTGGTAGCATTGCTTTTGGTCCACTAGGCCAACTGGTCTCTCTCCAACATACATAATCAAATTTTTTAAAATTTATTTTTAAAAATTTTTTTTAATCAAATTGTTTTAAAGATCCTTTTCTGTCATTAAATGTAAAAATGAAATAGTTTTAGATCACTGTGTCTGTATGAAATTAGTTAATTAGTTTAGCATTACTTAATTAAAATAAAATTAATTCTTCTAGTTTGTTTTTCTGGATCATAATATTTAGTGCAAAGCTAATAGATTACTTGCTCCATTTACCCCCTTTCTGATGAGTTTTAATATTGCTCTTATTAGAAGAGATTCTTTCAGACAAAATTTTTTATATGTTGATTTACATGAACAAATTTTCTCTGAAGTATAACTAAACGCCATCAATATACTGAAGACTTGTGTTTTGAATAACTAGGTATTTACTAAGCTTTTCTCTTCAGAAGGCTATAGACAATAGATTGTCAAGTGAAATATCTATTTTATAAGGTTAACAGAGAGGGTTAAAATAGTGGCTTTTACTCCTTGTTTAACAATCAGAAAGTACAGGAGACATAGAGAAAAAAGCAGGAAACAAAACCAAACCTGTCATCTAGTCATACAGAGATGAGAATTGTTTAAGTATAGCATATTTTTTGTTTTTTAAATGTAATCTTCTTGTCCCATATGTATAATGGTTTTGATTTGTTTTTGTTGTATACCACTAAGTTGGAACTGACTCATAATTGGCCCTCCAGCAGGTTTTCAGAAGAGCAAATCACACATTAGGAGATTGTCTTGTCTTTCTCCTACAGAGCAGCTGATTCAAGCCATGGACAGAGAAGATTGTAGTCAATTTATTTTCCTTGAACATCCTTACACTGGAGAGCTATGTGTTGAAATACTTAATTATCTTAAAGTATATAGGCCCAGGGTTAGAACCTCTTTTTCTGGAAGCACGATCCTTTCTGCTTGGAGCAGCTTTTTTTCCCCAGTGGTTACTGTTCTGACAGGCCTTTTCATAATGTGCTCTTAAAGTATGGTTCTTCACTTAAAGATGGATGTCTCCTAAAATTCTGTATTTTGTGTGGTTCATATTCCTCTTTCATAAATGAAGTTAACTTTCCTCAGTTCTGTTGCCTAGGTTGCCTCCTTAGAGGCAGCCAACCTGCTCCTCCTCAAAGGCAGCCTGATGCACTATCAAAGGATTTGTTAGAAACCCTATGCTTTCCCTTTTATTTTTACTTGACATTGTATCTTGGGGAGGTCATTTCATATTTCCCCCTTTTCCAGTAGCACTTCTCACAGATCATGGAAGTGAAAATGTTAATAAATTGGGGACTATAGTTCAGTTGAAATCCGTTCACAATTAAGTTTATTCTAACATTTTATATTTTTTCTTTTTTTCAGGGCAAAGGTACCCTTTGTAAAACTTTTCAAAATGCAAAAAGAAAATTGAAATTGAAACTTGTAAAACTTAAGCAAATGCATATATGTGTAGTACAATTTTTTTTTTAATTTTGGTTGTGCAAATTTTTAAGATACTTAAAGATGATAAGACACCCAGTTGAGCAAAGGGGTGACTTCAGAGTTGGTGGTAAGATGGGGCAAGACTTGTCAGGTGGGCTTTAAACTTAGCCTCCCAATAGATTTAAAATGTGAATGAATGCAGGTTCGAGAGCACATCTAGGTGTGTCCCTTTCAAACTTATTTGGTACCTTCTTCCCTTTTTTGTTGTTTATGTGTTTATTGTCCTTATCTGGTCTCCCCCTCATTAGATGTCACTTCCCTGAGGTTGATAAGCATTTTTCCAAATGATTAAAATTCCTTACTAGTTTTTTCAAAGGAGGAAAAACGATTAAATGAAGACATTTGAAACATTTTTAAATAAAGGTGCTTGTATTTCTACCATTTTAAAAGGAAAAGTTAAAAAATAGCATTTTACCTGACTCTGCTCAGCATTGCTCTCCAGTGAGAACAAGCTTCCTGGCTGACCCTTCATAGGTTTTTGGGGCTGTATATTAAATGGGAAGAAATTGCCCTTCTTTGTTTTGAGTTGCTGAGGGTGGACTGTAACTGCCTGCCTGCCTGCCTGCCTGCCTTTAGGTTAATATCCCAACTCAGTATGGGCTGTTCTCTAAGTGCTCCTTTGTGTTTTTCATTTTCTTTGTACTGTCTGCGCATTCCTCTGACTAGTTATCCCATTCCCTGTTTGTATTTTCCACAGTTCCCGACCGACAGGCAAAGGAGTTGAGGGACTTGCAAGAGTTGGATCCCGAGCAGCCCTTTCTTTTGCTTTTGCATTTTTACGCAGAGCCTGGCGATCAGGTAATGTCTTGTTTCACCTCTGCCCCCTTTACTTCTTACCCCAATCCAGCTATCTCTGGGCAACCCTGTAGCATCTGTGCCATTTAAAAAAAAAAAAGATGAGAGACTTCAGAGTCTTTCTTCTTGGCCTTTCAGTTTTTTCTTCTTTAATCAGACAGAGTGTCTGTGTGCATGCACGTGCTTGTGTGCTCACTTCTATCCATGAGTGATACAGTACAGTGGAAAACCTCAATTATAGACTTCTTTTCTAAAAGAAAAGTTAGTACTGTACCTCAAGGAGCCATAAAATAGAGTTGACTTTGAGTCAACTGTTACATTTAATCTCTGGTATTCTTAGAGTATGTCATGAAGAAAAGTGAGAGTGAGTAATGATGTCTCTCAAGCTGAGAGACATTAGTATGAGGAGGGGAGCTTGGATGGTGTGTATTGCCAAGTGTGTGTGGTCTCTTCTGAAATTGAATGTGAACCTAGGTGAAGATGCAGACCTGTGCAGTGAGCTGTTGCAAGAGTCCCTGGATGCCCTGAGAGCACTTCCTGAGGCCTCTCTCTTTGATGAAAATACTGTGTCTTCTGTGTGGCTAGAGGTTGTGGAAAGAGCTACAAGATTTCTCCGATCTGTTGTGACAGGGTGAGTCTTTTTTGTCATGTGTTCCAGTAGGAAGGTTCTAACAGTGTGTCCTCTCAACTTACTCTGTTTTAGCTAGGAAATGTGGGCTATGTTTTGGCAGTGTATTTTTAGTGTGATTCTTTGTCTTTTAAAATAATTTGATTGAAATATTCTGATTTGACCCAGAAAGCTGTTGTGAATGTAATGAGAACATAATGATGCTTTCTGTAATTTATTTATTTTGAGATATGGTAATCATTTCAGAATCATTGTGTCTGATCACTTATTAATTACTTTATGGTAGAAATGAAAACACCACCTGAGGATTGGTGTTATGTATTTACAATTTTAGTGTAGGTATTATGAGTAAATAATTACTTCTGTTGTACATTTCACTTTATATAAAGCATTTAAAACCTAATCTACTTGTTTTAGTATATTTAAAACACTTTGCATGTGAATAATTTTTTAATTTTCTCCAAAGAAAAACATAAACACCCTCTTTGAATGATGTGCATTGTTCTGTTTTTAGAAGGATCAGACCCCTGTATTCTCTCCTCACTGCAGACGCCTTCCACTGACTTGAGTGCTGATGGGTTTTGTGACCAGGTGTTTGAGGGCCTTTTTTGAGGGCATTGATAAAGACATTCCTATAGAGGCTTAAGGGAGCTTTAGTAGTTGAATGCAAAGAAATTGCACTGTCAACCCAAACGCATAGGGTTCACATCCCTTGGGCATTCTGTGGGAGGAAAACAGGTGGTCTCCTTTCATACAGTTTATAGCCTCTGAAAAGCTGCTGAAAGATCGGACAGTTAGCTTTGTGTTAGTTCCAATTTGATGTCACAACAGAGGTTTAAGATTGGAGACTCTGGAAAATTATTGTTGTTGTTATGTGTCGTTGAGTCGTCTGAAACTTGTCCTGTCCTGAGCCAGTCTTGCACATAGAGTTTTCAAAGGCCTGTTATATTTCAGAAGTGGATGGCCAATCCTTCTTCCTAGTCTCTCTGAATTTGGATGATTAGTTCTGGAAAATAGGCTTGTAATTAATTTGAAAAATTCAACTGCACTGGTGATGTCATGAGATTTTCCCTTTCCCTCAGTCACATTTTTAACTATTGGATAATGATATTGGATAAGTTAAAATGTTTTTCTTTGATCATATAAAAATAAGCATAGACATCTTGCCTATGGATCCTCAAGTACTTTTAGAAATTGACCCTTTAGTACTTTCTGGAGGGAATTGTTGATAATTTACAGACACTACATTTTATTGGGACTGGACAAATATTTAAACCTTTTTCCTTCAGCTACTTCATGTATGCCTTCTAATGTAATTCTGTCTTACATAAAATTAGTAAAATATATTAACACATTAAAATATATTTTTAAAGTTAATTATAATTTAAAATATCAATACATTTGTGTAGCAAGTCTTAGGCTTGATTCTAAATAATATAAATTTGATTTCTTTTGGTGAGAGAGATTATATAATACTGTTTTACTTTTCTCTTAAGCATGATGACTTTCTCTGACACTGCTTTATCCCAATGGCATTGCTTTTGTTTAAGGGATGTCTATGGGGCGCCTGGCACCAAAGGAACCGGGAGCATTCCCCTGCAGGACCAGCACTTGGCCTTGGCCATCCTGTTGGAGCTGGCCGTGCAGAGGGGCACTTTAAGGTGAGAATTCTACAGGAGGCCAGTGCTTTAGTGAGGTTCCTCTGCACTTAGCGAGCTTCTGTAATTGATGATATTTTATTTAATTATTATCTGTAGCAGATGCACAATGGTCTCTGTTCAAAAATCTTGCTCTTTATTTAAATCCAGGTTTACATAGATTTTTCTTCCTTTTCTTTTTATATCTGAGTTCTGCTTTCCTACATTTTTCTGAAATAGTTATTTATTTTTATTTTCTCGTTTAACGCCTTGGAACTTAGAGAAAGAGCTATTTGATCTTCTTATAGATTGTGACATAGATTTTATAAATAACAAAAGCTAGAATCTTTGTTATCAGTGATTTTTATTGTCTGATTATTTTCATGACTGTTTTAGTTTTCCTTTAATCTAGTGTATATCTTGTCAATTTTGTTTAGCTGTTTGCTTTTATTTTTGATGGCCCATAGCAAAATATTAATCTGTTTTCACTTGAGAATATATTTTCTCTTTTAGTCAAATGTTATCTGCAGTCATGTTATTGCTGCAGTTGTGGGACAGTGGGACCCAAGAAACTGACAATGAGCGGTCTGCACAGGGCACAAGTGCCCCTCTGCTGCCCTTGCTGCAGAGATTCCAGGGCATCCTCGGCAACAAGGATGCACTTCACCCAGAGGCTGATGTTCATGTAAGCATCCCCGGTGCTCTTGATCCACACTTGAAATTTCTGACTAGACCATGGTATACATGTCCTTGGAGGTGGTGGTTTTTGGGGGTATTTATGGTTAGTCAGGTTGGAAGGTGGGAAAGCTTTGCTTGATCATGTAAAGAAGTTACAGGAAGTCACATTGTGGGTTCAGCTTGTATGATAGAATGTTCCATGAGGTATTCTCCTTGATAATTCTCCTGGGCTCTGCGTTTTTGTTTTTGGTTTGAGTATTTTGCCTGTCAAATTTTTTTCTGCCATAGTAGAATAATGTAAACCTCTAGTACATGGGGTTTAGCACTTGTTCACTTCCAGGAATTCCTTATTAGTGCATGTTTGCGATGACCGAGCTGAGACTTAGATACTGTAGAACATATAACAAAAGAATGCTCTCTTGTGAAAGAGTTGTTAATAGAGGCATGAAGATAAGTGAAACTCTTGATATATTTCAAGTATAGAAAATGAGACTCATTATTGATCCTTGGATTAGATAGATAGCATAGGGCAGCCATGCATTAAATTTCAAGAGAAAGGTTAGCACATTTGAGGATATAGTATCTTTAGCCAGGCTCATAGGAGTGTTCCAACATGAAATATCACTTTGTCTACATGTGTAGAAAACACATATCCAGCCATCTTAATCCAGCCATCTTAATAGGAGAGCAAGGTAAGTCATCACTCTTTCCCCTGTTATACTGTTTGTGAAAAAGCACCATAGATTGGTGAGCACCAGCATTGCCATCATCCCAGAACCAAATCTGAAACACACACTTTAAATACATATTAGGAAAAAACATTTGAATTGCCAGTTTACCTTGCTGACTCTGCCTGTGGGCTAATCCAGGGGAGACCACAGCTCCCTGAGCAGGCTGGAAGGCCACGTTCATTTCAGTGTGCAGCATCAGTCTCCTCTGACTCCTCTTTAGAAGTAAATGTTGAGTTTCCCAATTTTTATTTATTTTTTAGAAAGATGCAGCCATTCCATTATATTATTTCAGCTCAGTTTATCTATTTTATGGCGGTGACAGAATTGAGTAAATAAAATTAGATTTTTCTGGGAAAAAAAAAAAAAAGAAAAAAAAATTAGATTTTTCTCCCAAGTAGGTAACATTTAAATGAAAATAAAGAGTTTTGTATTTGGTTTTTAAAGTCAGGTTGAGATGCTATTTGTATCACTCCAAAGCTAGTTCTCGAAGGTCCTGAAGGAGCCATGGTTTGCAGGTGGTTTGGACTCTATTAGTAATCCCTGTGGAGTTAACACCTACACTGAACAGATTTAAAGATGATGCATACATTCACATGATGGAATACTATGCAGCATTGAGGATCAATGATTTTGAAAAATACTCTATAACATAGAAGAGGCTAGAGTGCATTTTGCTGAGTAAACTAACTCAGGTGCATAAGAACAAATACTGTATAAGACGATTATTGTAAAAACAGAAGTGAGATATGTATAGATATACAAAGAAGGAAGTGGGCAGGGAACTGGTGGAGTGGGGGGACTATCACTGGGTTGAAGAGTTTAGTGAGTGGAGAGAGGGAGCAGAGGGGAAAATTCAAGAATGAAGCATTAAAAAAAAAAAGATACTGCATTATTGTAAACTCCAAAATTAAAAGGAAGACTATGTTTTAGTTTTTCTAGTCTTCAATAAAGATTGAAGCTTAACTTCAAGAAGACAAAGATTCTCACCACTGGACCCGTTGTCAGCACCATGATAGAGGGAGAAGAGTTTGAGTTTGTTAACAGTTCAGCTTGTTTGGTTCCACTATCAACACTTTTAACACCAGCAGTCAGGAAATCAAAAGATGAATTGCATTGGAAAAATCTGCTGTCGGGGACCTTTCCAGAATACCAAGCAGCAGTGATGTCAGTCTAGAGATTAAGGAGTGCCTAATCCAGGCTATGGTCTTTGCAGTTACTTTTATGCGTCAGAGAGCTGGACAGTGACTAAAGATGACAGCAGAAGAATCGAAACCTTCAAATTGTGGTGCTGGAAAGAGCCTTAAACATACCATGGACCGCCAAGTAGACAGATAGGTCTGTCTTGAAGAGGGTGAAACCAAGTCTCTCCTTGGAGGCTAGGATTTTGAAGCTCTGTCTTACATACTTAGGGCACGTTGCCAGGAGAGATGGGTACTTGGAGAGGGACATCATGCTTGTAAGGGTGAATGGACAGCACAGGAGTGGAAAACCCTGGGTGAGATGGATTGATACAGTGACTAGGGCAATGGTGGTTGATGTGTCGGAATTAGTGAGACTGAGGGCAGGGTTCAGAACTGCTGTATGCAGGGTTGCAATGGGTCAACTTGAAGACACATAACAACAGCACAAAAATTTCTTTGTGTTATTTGTTTGCATTTCTTATCTAGCTCTTATCTGGCCCTCTCAGCCCCAATGAGAGTTTCCTGAGGTACCTTACTCTACCACAAGACAATGAGTTGGCCATTGATTTACGACAGACGGCAGTTGTCGTTACAGCCCACCTGGACCGCCTGGCAACCCCTTGTATGCCTCCTCTGTGTAGCTCTCCAACATCTCACAAGGTATTTGCTATATTAGTCATCTTTATATATTTTAATTAATCAGTAATTCCATGAAATTCTCATTCTGTGCTTGTATGGATCTTTTCTGTGATGTTGAGTGTGGGACCTTTATAATAGCTTTTTAGAATCTGTGAGAGTGAGTACTCATATGATCTGTAGCTTTGGCCCATTTGAACCATCTTGTTGGCATCTGTTGTCCTTTGGGGCACTGGTATGATTTTGGAGTGTATCTGCTTCCTAGACAGTGTGATAGTGGTAATGGTGTTTAGTTGCGGGATCTTTCTGTGTTAGACACTCTGCCCTCCTTGAGTGTTCTTTCATGTTCTTCTGGGCAGCCTCATCAAGTAGGTAAGCCATCTAAGGTGTAGTGTCCCGGACTCCAGGCTCAAGGATGTGTCCAAGAGCCACAGGAAAGTTCTTGCACCTCACTTAATTTATTGTTATTGTTGTGTGCCATCGAGTCAGAACAAACTGTCCACCTTGTTGTTGTTGATTGTCTTCAAGTCAATCACAATTCATAGCGACCCTATGTACAAAAGACCTGAAGCCCCTCTACAACTATTGACATTTATCAGAGTTCATAGAGTTTCCGGAGGCATGCTGTTTAGGAAGTGGGTGCCACTTCTGATTACTTTGTATTATTTTTCTGCTTAACTATTGTTGAATACCATGGAGTTGTAACTGACTCATAACTGAACCTCCGGCAGGTTTTCAGAGGTAGTAAATCACACAGGAGGTGATTCCCTTGCCTACTCCCAGGAAGCCACTGGTGGATTTGAACTCCGTGCCTTTGAAATTGCAGGGTAGCTTCTTACCACTGTTGTTGTTGTTAGGTGCCATTGAGCCGAGTACTACTCATAGCGACCCTATGAACAAAAAGATCTGAACCTAGTCCTGTCCTGCACAGTCCTCATACTTCCTGACACACAAGAGCCCATTGCAGCAATCACCTTGCAGTCCACTTGGTTAAGGGTTGTCTTCTTCGCTAACCCTCTACCCTTCCCAGCACCATGTCCTTCTCCAAGGAATAGCATTTCCTAGCAATATTTCCAAAATATGTGAGGCGAAGGCTCATCATTCTTGCCTCCAAAGAGCACTCTAGCTGTACCCTCTCCAAGACATATCTATTCATTTTCTTGGCCATCCATGGGATGTGCAGTGCTCTTCTCCCACAACACAGCTCAAAAGCATCAATTCCTCTTCTGTCATCCTTATTCATTGTCCAGTTCTCGGATGCATAGCTAGTAATTGGAAAGACAATGGCCTGAATAAGACACACCTTAGTCCTCAACCTAACATCACTATTCCCCAATAATTTGGCAAAATCCAATTTGGCAGATTTTCCCATTGCAATATGTCTCCTTATGTTCTGACTGCTCGTTCCAAGGGTGTTAATTGTGGATGAACCTGTTGACAGTTTCGATCTTCTCTTGTCTATCATGACACTGCCTGTTGGTCCAGTGGACCACGAGAACTCCCTCTTAATTTTTAGGGTAGTGATTAATCTACACGTGTTTCTATATGTGAGTATGTGCATACCTGCTCTTCTTGGTTTATATATAATTGTGCTTGAAAATGTGAACTGGCTGGGGAAAATGTTTTTTTATGTATTTGATATTTCCTAGTGTTGTAGTACGCTTGACTCCCTAATGGTCGTGTCCGCATATATTTACAGAGTATACTTTCTTTACTTTTTTTGTTACTAGCATAAACTGTTTTATAAATAATGAAACACATTTATGTGAGAAAGTCTGCTTTTACAAAAAATGGTTATTATTTTACAGGGGTCATTGCAAGAGGTCATAGGTTGGGGGCTAATAGGATGGAAATATTATGCCAATGTGATTGGTCCAATTCAGTGTGAAAGCCTTGCCAGCCTGGGTGTCACACAGATTGCCTGTGCAGAGAAGCGCTTCCTTATTTTGTCAAGGAGTGGCCGTGTGTACACACAGACCTACAATAGTGATGCTCTGGTAGGTACTTTAGTTGGACTTGTATTCCTGTAAAGCATTCCTGTCATTGGTTCCGAGTTTTTTTTGATGCATGCAAGTCACATACATTGAATAGAGAAATGACTAGCTAACATTAGAGTTGGATTTGTTACATTGAAATGTATGATTGAGGAAAGTCATGTTATTTTCATTGTTTTTGTACTGATTTGTAATTTTACTTCCAATTTTTCCTTTTTCAGGCCCCGCAGCTGGTCCAGGGTCTTGCTTCTAGAAACATTGTAAAAATTGCTGCACATTCTGATGGTCATCATTACCTAGCCTTGGCAGCCACTGGAGAAGTTTATTCCTGGGGGTGTGGGGATGGAGGACGACTAGGTCATGGGGACACTGTGTATGTATGGCATTATTCTTTTATTGGACTTGGTTTCCTTTATATTGCTGTTTCTAAGATTGAGGAGTAAAATAAAATTATAGCTGTGACTTTTTAAAGCTATTGTTACTTGTATACTAGGCTGGTCTTTTCTTGACAAACCTGTGGAAGTGTCCACAGTAAAGAGGGACAGTTTGTTTTTTTTTCTTCAGCTTCAATAAAACTAGATTTTTTTTCTACTTTTCTCTAAATTAATTCTGCAGAGTTTGAGAAAATGAATTTGACTCGCATTTTCAGTCTGTATTCTTAAATGTGTCAACATTGTCCAGCAGATTAGGATATGTATTTGAACCATAAGGTTTTTGTCACAGTCTTTAAAAGGAACAATTTCTTTGGGTTATTGTACATTGTGGAGGCTTTTTATTACTTTTGAGAGAACAGAAAAACATTTAAGTTAGAGATGTAAGACTGTAAAACGTGAGAGTTTTGAGAACTCCCAGACTGATGGGATGCTTTTATGTGTTGGTGTTATGTTTGGGAACTGGCAGCAGAAACTTTTTATTGAGAGTAAAATCTAGCAATCTCTGTTAATGTGTATCATAGATTTATACAGTAGATGAAACAGCAGCAGGATTTGAAATGATCACCTTCTGGACATTGCCTGCCCCAGAGGTCTCTGGTGCATTCTGTATGTGAATGCAGTGAGATACATACTGGAATCAAATATTCACGCCATTGCTCTATCACAGTAACTCGAAAAACTCAACTGTGATAAAAGCTGTTACATGTTTAATGTTACACATTTATTGTGAGGGCCAAAATATTAATACTGTACCAGTGTTGTTAGAACTTTGGACAGATGTGGTAAGATTATTATGAAAAAAGCATGAAGAATATAAAATTTAGATTTGTTACTCTCAGACTGGAAAGGGATGGTGTCATTGGCATAGGCATACTGTGACTTAAAAAGTATTTTAAGTTACCTTCTCAAAAAAGTTAGCTTTGAGTATTTTTTTGGGGGGGGGTTTCAGTAGTTTTTTTTTCTTTTTTCCTTTTCTTTTTTTTTTAATTGGGAAAAACATATTGGGGGTACAAGGAGGTGAGGGTTGGGGGCAGAAGGGTGAGGATGGGCCAGGATGCAGTTGAAGAGCTGCACAGTTTGGTCGGTGGGGGGAGTAGGTGAAGGAAATGATGAGGGTCTAGTGGGGACCAGATGCTACAGAGGAATGACATGCATTTTCCAGTAGTAATTAAACCAACTGTCTTATTGATTTGGGAATTGGATGCCGACTCTCTGGCTTCCTCATGCTAAACAGGGGCATAGATGTAAAGGGGGGAAGGGAGGATGCTCTATCACCTTACTGGTGGTCTTGGGTTAAAGCTGCTTGCCTTCTTGCTCTGTTGGAGATATTTTCCTGTCATTTGCTCCCCTCTGGATTGCAAAGTGTTTCCCCAGGTGGGTCCAGTGGGGATGGCTGGTTGAACCCAGAGGCTCCATCCTCCTTTGCTTCCTTAGCTGTCAGTTATATTTCCTTTTTGTCACTGGCACTAGGTTCAGGGTCAATTCTGGAGTAAAACTCAGTTAAGGTTACCTATAGAAAAGGGAGCAAACCTAGAAAGAACAAACTTGTGAGTTACAAATAGAAGGGCTTTGAGGGTGTTGCGTTCAGGTTTACTGGGGGGGGAGGGTGGCAGACGTGGCTAGGTAACATTCTCTGGATACCCTAGGCATTCTTTTTTTTTTTTTCTTCTTCTCCTTCCCCACCCAGGGGTCAGATGGCACAATCTGGGGACTGAGGAGCTCACCCTGAGGGCCACGACGGCTCGCCCCGAGCCGGGGGCCAAGCGCAGCCCACCCTGGGCAGAAGGCCAGGACGGCTCGCCCCGGGCAGAGGGCCGCGACGGCTCGCCCCGAGCCGGGGGCCAAGGGCAGCCCATCCCGAGCAGGGCAACACCCCCCAGGAGCTGGCTGGTATACTCCCCCTCCAATTGCCCCTACCCCAGTCTGGTCCCTTCACCTGACTGAGGACTCTTTGGTCAGGGATAGTGTTTCCAATTCCAGCACTGCCACTTTTACCCCCCTCCCCCCAATAAGTGGTCATACTGTATTTTGAAGTAGGTGTCACTGCCCTCCCCCTTTATATATGATAAAGGGAACCTGAGAATTGTGAACAGACTCCCCACAGGTCTAACCATCTTTTGGCAGAAGCATTCAACAGAACAAAATATGTGGTGCATTTAGGATGTGGGTCCTCTTGTGCATGCTGCCACTATTAAGGTCGTCAGACTCACAGTGACTTTCAGCAATCCATTGCATAGTTAATTGTCCTCTTTGGCCTGTCCAGTGCATAGGTAATTGTCCTCGTTGGCCTTTCCAATACATAGGTAATCGTCTTCTTTGGCCTTTCCAAGGAAACCAAAACCTGCAGATGGCGGGAATGCATCCCATCCCCCACCTCCTACGCAGGCAGCCAGTGGTGTGCGCCCCCCCCCCCAGCGCAGGAGGCCTGCGGGAGGTGCGCGGCCCCCCCAGCGCGGGCTGCCGTTGGTGTGCGCCTCCCCACCCCGCCGCATGGGCACTTGGCGGGTGCGCGGCCCCTCTTGTGTGGGTGGCCAGCGGGTGCGGGCTTTCCCCACAGCCGCCATCCTGGCTCCAAGTATTCTCTCCAGACCAAGTCCACCTTGCGGCAGTGTGGTGGCTTCACTGTACCAGTCTTGAGGAGGGCCGGTGCCCAGCATCCATCCTGGGTGAGGGAATCCATTCATTCAGGCTGTGGAAGCCTCATGGAGCTGCAGCAGCTGTTTGGTGCGGCTCGGGCTCTGCGGGGTGGAGGGGGTTGGTTGGGAGCCACGAGACTCACCCATTTCTCCTTGGGAATCCTTGAATTCCTGTTGTTGAGCCTTGATCTTCACTGAGGGCCAGTCATCAACTGATTAAGTGTTCAATTATCAATAAGCCGAAGTCTGTGGAAGGCCATAATGGCCGTGCTTTAAGTGGTTTCCTGCTCCCGCAGCTCACCACGCTGTCTCTGCCTCTGCTGCCATCTTGGATCTCTAGTATTGTTTTTATTACCTGATTTATGTTATTTATTTTTTCAACTCATTTCTGCCTATTCAGAACCAAGTCATAACGTATAGATATCCAGTCGTTTTCAGAGCCTGTAAATTGTATGAGAGGAGAGATTGGCCATCTTTCTTCCAGGAGCAGCTGCTGGATTTGAACCACCTCGCTATTTGTATTTTTGTTGTTGTTATGAACCATCCTGTCAAACATAGCTGACTTTCCAGTGGGTTTTCTGAGGCATTTAACAGTATGAGAGGAGATTGCCCATCTTTGTCCCATGTTGTATACTTTAGAATATATCAGCTATTTCATAATAAAATAGTACTCTGCTGAGATTAAGTACTAAAATGAATAGTCTGTTTGTTACCCTCCAAGTTCAGGGAAGAAAACAGAAATCCAAAAGAGAGAAAAAAGAGATAAAAGTTTAAGAGAAAGGGATCTCTGGTGGCCTAGTGGCAAGAAGCTGCACTTCAGTCCCTAAGGCATACAGTTAGAATCCACCAGATACTCTCCTGGTAGGGGCAATCTTTTCCTGTGCCAACTGGATCCATTTCAGTGGTACACAACAAAAAAAGAAAAAAGAGTTGGAGAAGGACTTTTAGAGAAGTTGGAATGAGGTAAAACAAGAAGTTACTGGAGTTGAGATTTTTGGCTATTTATACCTGTGTTAATTTATTTTACACAGTTCACAGAGTGAGTAGACCACACCTTTTGTGGAACTCTGTTTAGGGAGATTGGATTGCCTCAAGGGAGATGTGCCACTGCTCTGGGAGAAAGATGTATAATCTCCTCCCATTAATTTGTAGTCTCAGAAACATGATGAAGGGTTAGCTCTGACTTTGACTTGAAAGCAATGCATGAGTGAGTGAATGAGCCCAAGTGGGTTTATGTGTATACTTAACACGTTGCTGCACACTTTTAAATTGAGACCATGCTTAGAAACACATTTTTTTGCTGTCATTTTCGACAGTGTGTTAAGGAAATTGGTTATGAGTAAGAGTGAGCATGATTATTATGTTGTTGGTGTATACTTTTGAGTCAGAACCAACTCATATCTGAGTTTTCAGAGTTGGTTTTCAAAGGCAGTAAATCACTTGGAAGTAATTGCCCATCTCCCATGGAACAGTTGGTAGATTTGAACTGCATGCTGTAGGATGTTCCATTGCTTAGAAGTCACGTAGTTTTTTTCCTATAGTTTATGAGCATTCAAATAATTTGTAAATTCAGACCATTGTGACTAAAGCTGTTGTTGAACTGTGATGCATGTGTCTTTAATAGATGTTCTGAAATTCTGCTGGGTACCATTCTGCTGGCACTGGATACCTATTTAACAAAGTTTTGTTTTGGAGAGTTAGGTTTTTTAAAAATTAAATATTTAATTACTTCATAAGAAATTTGAAGGTAGAAACTGTGTTGGCTGTGATAATTCCTGCTAATTAATTTTTTGTCAATGTCTGGAATGGTATTTATTTGTATTCTTTTCTTTCCCCAGGCCTCTGGAAGAGCCCAAGGTGATTTCTGCTTTTTCTGGGAAGCAGGCTGGGAAGCATGTGGTGCACATTGCTTGTGGAAGCACATATAGTGCGGCTATCACTGCTGAGGGGGAGCTGTACACTTGGGGCAGGGGAAACTACGGTCGACTGGGCCATGGTACGTCTGCAGTGTGAAGATTGAGTGTGTACAGGGAAGTTGCTTCTTTTACAATAATGACAGTCCTGTCTCTTTGAAGGCTCCAGCGAGGATGAGGTCATTCCAGTGCTTGTAGCTGGGCTGAAAGGACTGAAGGTTATTGATGTGGCATGTGGAAGTGGGGATGCTCAGACCCTGGCTGTGACAGAGAATGGTATGTAGAGCACATGTTGCCCTTTGCAGCCTTTTAAAGTAGACAGTATGTCAACTATTGGAGCATAGTGTTCTTGAGATGCCAGTTCATCTAAGATGTATTGGCGGGACTGTAAAATACTTACAGAGTACAGGGTTTGGGCTTTTTGTTTCTTTTTTTTAAAAAAAAAAAAATTATACTGGCTTACTTACAAAGTTCATAGACATTATTTTTCACACTGGATCTTTCTAATTTTCTTTACCCACCTCTCCCCCTACCCATCAAATTATGTGACCCTATAATTATCCCCCTGCCCATCCTTACTCTTTGCTTCTACCTTCCCCCCCTTGGGTCCTTATACATGTTTTACTAATTACTTCTACAATAATGGTGTTATGCAGTATTTGTCCTTATGAGACTGAGTGAGTTCATTTAGAATAATGCTCTCCAGACCCTCCCAAGTTGAGTAGTAATTTTCAAAATCATTGCTCCTGCATGCTGTATAGTATAGAATAGATTTTTAAGGAATAAATGTTTCTATCCTTCAAACCTGATAAATGTGTCCTCAAGATAAACAATATACACTGAATAATGAATGAAACTCAGAACTAAAAAATGAGCAAACAGTGTAGCATACTATAGAATAACCTAGAGCAAGCAAGATTTAGAAGAAGCAAGCAATGTGGCTGAACAATAGAAAACTAAGTAATGTTAATGACTAGAGACAGTTCCAGATGTCATTCTATTTGGCATTATTCCACTAAAAAGAAAATGTAAACTAGAATAGTATCATGGACCTGCCCAGTGGTATCATAGGGATCTTTCTTCAGTATCAAGGTGTGGCATACATCAGCATTCAGTCACAGTCCCAGAAAGAATTGGCTGACACAGAAGAATTTCATGAAATAACATATGAGCAAGAGCCTGTGGTGTTGAAAGAGGAAGTTCAAGTTGCACTGAAGGAATTGACAAAAAAACAAGGCTCCAGGAGTTGACGGCATACCACTTGACTTATTTCAACAAATAGACGCTGCCCTGCATGTGCTAAGTTGTGAACAAATTGGGAGGAAAGCCACAAGCCAACTGACTGGAAGAGATCGATATTTGTTCCCATTCCAAAAAAAGGTGACCCAAAAATACCATATGCAATCAAGATTCTCCTGAAAATGATCCAAAAACGACTGGAGCAACACGTCAGCAGAGAACTAGCACACATGCAGGCTGAATTTAGAAGAGGTCGTGGTACTAGGGATATTATAGCTAATGTTAGGTGGATCTTGGCAGAACGCAGAGAGTACCAGAGGAATGTCTATCTGTGCTTCATTGACTATACGAAGGCTTTTGACTTGTGTGGATCACAACAAGCTGTGGCTGACTCTGAGAAGAACAGGAATCCCAGAACATTTGTTTGTGCTTATGCAAAACCTATACTTGGACCAAGAGGTCATATTCAGAGCAAGGAGACGTTGCATGGCTCAGAATTGGGAAGGGGTCCGTCAGGGACGTATACTGTCTCCATACCTTTTCAATCTGTATGCAGAACAGATCATCCGGATGCTGGGCTGTACGAGGAGGAATGTGACATCATGATTGGTGGAAGATTCATCAACAACCTGCGTTATGCGGATGATACAACCCTGCTTGCTGAAACTGAGGAGGACCTGAAGCACTTGTTGCAGAAGGTCAAAGACTGCAGCCATCAATTGAAGCTCATTATCAAGAAAACAAAGATTCTCACCACTGGGCCAATAGGCAGCATCAGTAAGGATGGTGAAGCACTTGTTGCAGAATGTTAAAGACTGCAGCCTTCAATATGAATTGAAGCTTAATATCAAGAAAACAAAAGATTCTCACCACTGGGCCAATTGGCAGCATCATTATGGTTGGTGAACAGTTGAGATAGTTAACAGTTTTAGTTTGCTTGATACCAGCAGCCAGGAAATCAAGAGACAAATTCCACTGGGAAAGTCAGGTGTCAGGTACCTCTCTGGAGTACTGGAGAGCAACAACATCAGTCTGGAGACCAAGGTGTGCCTGATCTGGGCTATAGTCGGTGCAGTTGCGTGCTATACATTGGAGAGCTGGACAGTAACTAGGGATGATAGAGATGTGATGCCTTTGAGCTGTGGTGCTGGAGAGGAGTGTTGAATATACCATGGACTTCTAGCAGAACAAAGAGGTTTATCCTAGAGAGGGTGAAGCTCGGCTGCTCCTTGAAGTCAAGGATTCTGAAAGTTTGTGTGACATTCCTTGGGCATGTTGCAAGGAGGGACCAGTCCTTGGAGAGGGATATCATGTTTGGGAGAGTGGAGGGATAGCACAGGAGAGGAAGACCCTCCATGAGATGGGTCGATTGAATGGACAGCACAGGAGAGGGAGACTCCGGATGAGATGGATTGATACAGTAACTGGGGCAGTGGGGTTGGTGTGTCAGGATTAGTGAGATTGGCTCAGTATAGGGAAGGGTTCAGAGCTCCTGTACATAGGGTCACTATACATCTCAGACAACTCAGTAGCATATATCCACTTCTTAAAACAGCATGCCTCTAGGAACTATGAAGTTTGAGAAATGTTGATAGTTGTAGAGGGACTTTGGGCCTTTGTTCACAGGGTCTCTATGAGTTGTGCTCAACTCGAAGGCAATCATTAATGACAACAACAATAAAGACGTTATTGAAAATGGAAAATTTTAAAAAAATTTTAAAACATAGCTATGATTCTTTCAAATCTTAAAACATTAGTAAAAATGGAAACTGCTCTGGGCAGTTAGGAAAGTAGTTGATGGCAGTGTTTAACTGAATCCATGTTGGCAGTGCATGTTTTCCAGTTTTTGTGTTTGGGTTTCCTGAGTTGAACATTGGAATACTTATTCTTTACATAGCTAGAGTACCTTTAAGTAACTACAGTTTTCGTGTTAGTTCAGGGACTAACCTGCTTTTACAAATAGAATTGTACTCTAATGGCTTAGTAATAAGGGCGATGGGCAGCCTTCTGTGTAACTTACTAATTCTGAAAACTTGCTGGAGTAAGCTATTACTTAGTTTTGATTCAGCAGTATGTAACAACAACAGAATATAGCTATGGCTGGTTTTTTTTTCTCTCATTGCTTCCATGCTGTCACGAGAAAAGTAGCAAAGACCAGATAGTTTCAGTTTCGATGATCTGTTTGTTACTGGCAGACTGTTTTGTCATTTACTGGGGTGAAAGTGAGTAGCTTATCAGACAAACTAGGGCAAAGATTGTGTCCTTCTTAATTTCTGGTGGAACTCCCTGGACAGACTTGTCAAAGGTTATGTGTCTTGTAATGGAAATAGGAGGAGAAGGAGTGTTTTCCCTCTAATTGCGCAAAAGGACAAAAGCTCAGGGATACCTAATAATTTAAGGTCAGTTTCCAAAAGGCAACAGCACAAGAGAATTCTTTATAACACAGTAACTAAATTTAAGAATTATGGTAACAGATGTTTGGGAACAAATGATACAGTTAACTCTTGGTTATAATGTTGACTGTTGGCCAGTAGGACCAGAGCAATTGCCAAGCTGCATGTCAGCTGTTTTGTTCTGTGGAGGAAATAGAGTGGATTGTCAGTGTTCAGGACACACTTAAATCGTGTTAAGGCCTCGCTCAAGTAAGGATCAGGATTTTGTTACTCCTTTAATTAAATAAAATCTAACTTTCCCTTTCTTAATTGCTGATATATGAGCCTTATAAAAATGCGATTTCATTTGGTCTGTAACACCCATTTGTTTTTAACTGAACACCTTAGTGGTCTAGATTTGAGTGCTTTATTGAATACATTATTTTCAGCCTTTTAAAAGATTGCATTAAAGTGTACTGACGTATTTTTTTAAACTTACATACCTTTGTATGTCTTTAGGTCAGGTGTGGTCTTGGGGAGATGGAGACTATGGAAAATTGGGCAGAGGTGGGAGTGATGGCTGCAAAACGCCAAAACTTATTGAAAAACTTCAAGACTTGGATGTTGTTAAAGTACGCTGTGGAAGCCAGTTTTCAATTGCTTTAACCAAAGATGGACGAGTTTACTCATGGGGAAAAGGTGACAATCAAAGACTTGGGCATGGAACAGAGGAACACGTTCGTTATCCAAAACTACTGGAAGGCTTACAAGGTAGGTGGAAAATGCATACTATTTTGAAACAGTTTGGAGCAGTTTCTTTATTCATCTGACAAAGTTGACAGATTTCTTCTATTGAATTTGTTATGAATGGACTTTTACTTAGAGCTATTATTTCTATTTTGGTAAATAAAGATAATGGAAAATTGACTTGTGCTGCAAACCCAAAGGTACAAGGTTCAAATCCACTAGCTGCTGTGTGGGAGAAAAATGGGCAGTCTCCTCCCGTTACTGCCTCTGAAAACCAACTGGATGGTCAGCTGTGGGTTGGTTCTGACGTGACAGTATACCTCAAGAATTTTTAAAAAACATAGGGAGCTCTGGTGGCCAGGATCTGAAAGGAGTTGTGCTGCTAACCTGAAGGCCATACCTCTCTCATAGTTTGATTCTACCAGCAGCTCCATGGGATATCTTTGCCCATGCAGTTTATAGCCTCAGCAACCTGGTGGAGGGTCAGCTATTTGATAACAATTAGAATTGTGTGTGGTTTTTCTGGTTCTGATTTGACAGCAGTCAGAGTTGTATGTGGTGTTTTTCCCGCCCTCTATGATTAAAGGATTTAGTAGCAGAGTTAATAGTTAAAATTCTGGTTTGAAACCCAGATACAATCTTTTGGAAGGTTTCTCAGTTCCACTCACTTGCAACTTAATGTTAAGTTTTAGGCCAGTTAATAATTTCATGCTGCTCCCTTGCAGTCTGTCTGGGGGCTTGGTTATAGGCCCCAGCTATGGTTCCCTAGGGGCAGTCCCTTGTCAGCTTTGTCTTACATTGGTTTTGGTCTCTGGTTCTTCATTGCTTCTGCCTTGTTTTGATCTCTTCCTCTGGCCTGAAGAACATGTACTGCATTCTTTGATCTTCTTTCTTACTGGTAGTGAGATGCCCATTTTGTGCTGCTGTATCTATTAAGTTTAACCTTGGAAACATGGCTAGACTACTGATTTTCATTTTGTTGCTATTGTGAATAAAGCCATGTTGAACCATATCTCTGTTTGCGTGTTGGCTCTGATTTGTCTTAGTAGAGTAAATTCAAGTAGTGGAATAACTGGGTCATGTGGAATTTCTATATTCACCTTTTGGAGAAAATGCTAAAATGCCTTCCATAGTTGTACTTTACAATCCCATCAGCAGCACATAAGCATTTCAGTCTTTAACCTGTATGCCAACATTTATTGTTTACTGTCGTGTTGAACTTTGCTTCTGCTGCTAGAGTGTGATGGTATTTCATTATTGTTTTGATCTGTATCTCTCATTGCCGGTGATTTTGAACATTTCCTCATATGTTTGTTGGCCATATTTTCCTTGGTGAAGAATCTTTTCATGTTTTTTGCCTATTTTATAATTGGGTTATCAATCTCTTTTTTGTGGAGGACCTGTAATAGTCTGTACATTTTAGTTACAAATCCCTTGTCTGAGTGGTCATTTCCAAATATATTTTTCCCCAGTCAGTGAGCTTTCTTTTGATGTAGTTGGACAAGATTTTTGATTGACACACAGGGATTTAATTTTTAGATGGTTTTGGTCGTGTTTGCATGCCTATTCATGCCACAGACGGAGGCTTCTAAAATTTCATGCCACAGACTGAGTCTTCTAAAATTGTTGTGATTTTTTTTTCTCTGATGATTTTTTAATTTACCTCAAACTCCCTGATTGTGCTGAATTTACTGTATGAAGAGAATTGAGGATCCTGTTTTAGTTTTCTGCAGGTTGATGCCCAGTTTTGCTAGCATCATTGGTTAATGAGGTGGTCATTTCCTTATTTAATGAGTTTCATTTCTTTGTTGAATATAATTTGATCATAGGTAGGGGGGTTGATTTCTGGGTTCTTGATTCTATTCCCTTGGTCTGTGTTTTGTCATTGTACCAATACCATGCTGTTTAAATACTGTGGCTTGTAGCAGTAAGTTATTAGATCAGGCTATGTGATGTCTTCTACTTTGTTTTTCAGAAGAGGCTGTTTATTCAGGATCTCTTTCCTTACCTAATGAAATTTAAAATTGCCTTTTCTGTCTCCTTGAAAAGTGAGGTTGATATGTGTATTGGGATTATATTGAACCTACAGATTACTTAGGTTAATTTGTTATCTTCATAATGTTGAAACTTCTTAACCATGAACAGGGAGTATTTTTCGATTGAATTCTGTCTCTTGCTGTATTTTGCAGTAGTGTTTTGTAATTTTCCTTATATAGGTCTTTTGTGCCTTTAGTTAAGTTTATTCCTGTTCACTTCATCTTGTTATTGGCTGTTATAAATGGTATTACTTTTCTTGTTTCTTTGTCATTGTTTTCTTTCTTGCTGTATTGAAATCCTCCTGATTTTGTATATTGATTCTGTGTCATGCTACTCTGCTGAATTGGTGTACTAGATCAGCTTTTTTTTAGTCCTTAGCGTTTTCTGTGTGCACTATCATATCTGCATAAAGCACCAGTTACAGAATAAGAATGCTGAGAGTGGACATCCTTGCCCTGCTCCCTGTTTGCAAGGAGCAAGCCTTTTAGTCTTCTCTCCATTGAGAATGATGTTGGCTCTTGGTTTTGTGTATATACTTGTAACTGCATTGAGGAAATTTCTCTTTATCCTATTTTATTGAATGTTTTAATCAAGAATGGGTTTTTGGATTTTGTTAAAGGCCTTTCAATTGGTAGAATTTTATAGTTCTATTCCTTTGTTTTAATTAATGAATTACATTAATTTTGATCATGATTAAATTTTTTTAATATATACTTTTGGTTTCTATGGATTAGGATTTTGTTAAGGATTTTTGCATCTCTGTTCATCAGAGATAAGTTGTCTATAGTTTTCTTTTTTGGTGATGTCTTTGCTGGTTTTAGAATCATGATCATGTTTGCTTCATGGAATGACTCTGGGAGTGTTTCTTCTTTTTCTGCGTTTTGAAATAATTTAAGTAAAATTGATAATATTTCATCTCTGAATGTTTGATAGAATTCACTGGTAAAGTGGTTCGGGTGAGGACCTTTTTTTGCAAGTTTTTTTTTCCCACTCTCTTCCCCTCCTTTATTCCTTTTTGCAAGTTTTTTTATCACCTGCTAAATTTCTTCTTTTTTTTTTATTTTTTT